AAGAACATTAAGGATCCAATTGAAAGGCGCATAGAAGGTAAGGGACAACTTGTGCAATTAGTTTATGAAAAAAGTAGAGGATTTTTCACCTGGTTTTTGTTCTGATTTTTATTTTTATTAAAATATAAATTTTAAATTGTTAAAAGAATTCATAAAAACATAGAAGTAAAAAATAAAACAAAATTAAAAAGTATAAAAAGGAAGACAAAATGGTACCAAATTAAAAGGCTTGGAAAGTGAGGCGCCTAAAGAAAAGAAAAAGGAACTTAAGGTCGAACCCATGGCTTTGACCCAATTCCGAAAGCCCAAATCTGAAACCTATAGGCCCTAATCCAGAACCTATAACCTAATCTTAAACCTTGTCAACTCCGGCCCAAAACATTACTCTTTTCCATGACCCTGTAAACAAAAACCTAAGATCAGCCACCAGGCCCACCCTCATTCCCTTGGGCCTCAGCTGCTTCTCCCTCGACTTGATCCTTTCCCTCTTCTTCTTCTTCTTCTTCTTCTTCTTCTTCTCCGATTCAGGTTGCTCCCGCCGCCATCCACATCATCTTCTCGGCAACGGTGGAATCAAAGGGGAAACACTCAACCGCCGTACAAATTCTTCACCTGGACTCTCCTCTGCTCGGAAATTGCTTTGCTGCTGTCTGTGCCGTTCTGGTAATGCTTATGGGCAAACAAACATTTGGTAAGGTTACAAAAATATTGTTGGTGTGTTTGGTTGGATTGTTGAAAATAATTAATAATTATAATTGTTAATTAATAATATATAAAATAATTAATATTTATTACTTAATAAATTAATAATTTTAAACAATTATAAAAAATCCATTAAATCAAATAAATTTATAATATATTGTGTGGATTAGCGATAATCATCCGTAATGCAGATCACTGCAGCAAACACTGAATGTCTTCTCATCTCATTCTCAATCACTGCAGCAAACATCTTTTTCTTTTCATTTCTAACGTGCCTTTTCGACTTTAATCACGCCCTAGATTCAAGTGGCATCACCGCTGTTTCGCTAATTCGACACTGGATTTCATCTCTCCTCGGCCTACGCTGTTGTTCCTCTGGTTTCTGGCAACAAAAAAGTTATCTCTCTTGCTTCGGTCTATCTCAGATCCAGTGCCTTTGACACTGGTCGTTGCTTCTCCATTCTACGGTGACCCATGACCCCAGGGGCTTGCCGTCGTCTGCCGTTTGGGTTCTAACCCGTTTTGGCTGCTTTCAGTTCTCTTATGCAGAGTAGATTTTGTCAAAAGTTGTAAATACTTTTCCAGTTCTCGAGTTGTACAAATCGTCATACATGCAAAACGGAAAATTCAGAGCGCATTTGGACTATGAAATAGATAGACGAAACAGTTTGGAAATATGCATGGAATGATCACACACCAAGATTTCAACTTTCAGCAACATGGTATCGAATTCATCAGTCAAATGAGCCAGAGAAGTGCGACAATGAAAATATATATTAGTAAAAATAAGGGGTATATCACTGATATATACCAAGCAGATTTCCCGAAGCAATTCTGAGATTTTCCACTCTACTTCATTTTCAATGGTAAACAAGAACGAATCAACAACGAAAAGAGAATTAATCAAAACAAAAATGAAAGAAGATTTCTACAAAACTAGATATTTAGTGTCCTAGTGGGTGAGATAATGGTTTTGAAAAGCAAAAAAAAAAAAAACAATAATAAAAAAAGGACATTTTTGTGAAAATTTCTGCTGCTGCATAATTATGCTTTTTCTTCAAGGGAACACTTTGAAAGATAAAAAGCATTTTATCTTTTAATTATTTTTCACATCAAACATTACACATAGGCATAGCACACACACAATATATAACTCGAGCAGTACATAATTAAATCCCTTGCTTTCACATATGATAAGCATAGGGCTCTATATCCAAGTTACTGCAATAGGACTTCAGACCATGTATATTTCCCAAACACCCGTGTTAGAGATCCGACAGATGATGTTATAGATTTTAATTAAAAATTGATCCGACAGATGATGTTCAAATGGTAATAGACAAATTTTTAAAACTTGCATCAGTTTTCGATTTCTTGGAATCCATGTAATAATTTTCATTATTGCATATAGCTTCATCAATTTCAAATTTGGTCCTTGTATTCGACAAATTTCTTTCAAATTTTAACTGGTTTTTCACTTCAATTACGAAGTGGGAAGGCCTATAAAAAGGCAGTCTCCATGTCTACCAAAGGCTGATACTACTTTTGCATAAGCTACACTTTATTTCACAAACACAGTATTTAAACTCTTTTTGGACAAGGAAAAGGTGGTGAGGTAGAGTTTTCTTTACAAGAGTGCATTACTTATAAAGATACAATGAGGAAAGGTTAGACTATTTAATATTGGGGGCGATGTAACAATAAAAATTTACTGTATCAATGGCACAAAATGTCATAAAAAGAGTAATTGATCCATGTCTTTACTCAAACTCCTCGTACCATTGGTAACATCTTTCTACTTTTATCTTCATCTTTAAATAATTTTTTTTTTTGTTAATCTCTTGTCTGTTTTTTTTTTCTTCTATTTAATTTATGAGGAACAATAGATGAGTTATGAGATTCAATGATTTGTCTTATTGCAGTGAAACTCACCTTGTATCTCAATTTCTAACCGTGGATCTTGAAACTTAAAGTGCTAGGCTTCACCCTAACTGATATTCCTTTGGGTTCTTGTACCTGCACTTTATAAGTACCTACTGGAGGATTTCCAACGTTTGTGACAGTTCTTCTGTAGGTAATGGTAAAATTATGGGCATCACTCTTGAAACGAACCGCAAAGGAAGGGTAGTTCAGATGAGCTTATCGTCGCCAATCAAGTACGTTGGTGGCATAGGAGCCGATACCGAAACACCGATTTTGGCGAGATTTAGAATCCCACTACGATGAATTCGATTGCCAGATTCACCACTTAGGTTGGCAAGACCTAAGATACAGAGATAAATTGAGAGAATCCTCTCCCAAAAACTCACTCAAAAGAGGAGAAATATAAACTGAAATTTTGATTGAAACTTATGCATACAACGAAGGGAACATAGCTATTTATAGGCAAAATCTAACATAAGGCAATAAATGAAAAGTGAAAATGCAGTTGGGAGTTAGCCATCTTTGTGGAATTTAGTGGCCATTTTTGACAAAATTGCACCGGCCTATTTGTAGTCTGCAGAGTGTAGTCTGAAATTTGCTAACTTACAATCTTGGTGTACTTTCTTGGTGCATTCTCCCCTGGTTGGAGAAAACTCGTCCTCGAGTTTGAGTTCAATGCTCATGATCCTCATAGTAAGGAGATAGGTCAGCTACATTGAAAGTAGCAGAGACCCTATAGTCACCTGGAAGTTTGATCTTGTAGGCATTATCATTGATTTTCTCCACTATCTGAAAAGGACCATCTGCTCTAGGGGAGAGTTTGACATTAGGTCAATTAGGAAACCTTTCCTTTCGAAGGTGTATCCAAACCCAATCTCCTTCTTTATAGACAACCTTCTTTCGGTGCTTGTCATGATGAGCCTTATACCTAATGGTTTGACGTTGTAGCTTCTCACGAACTTCTTCATGAAGTTTCTTGATCTTCTTGGCTCATTGTTCAGCATCTACACTAAATTGTCGGGATGTGGGCAATGGAGCAAGATCTAAAGGACTGAGAGGACGCACTCCATATACTACTTCAAATGGGCATTTTC